AAATTTCTAACTTTTGCCAAACGACTCCAACATGACCTACGGACCTCCAAATCCACTTCCGAACACGATCCCAATACCAGATCACCATAAAGAGCTATTCTCAGACTCGAAATCCCAAACGGACATCGATAACATTGAAATTCACTTCAACCCAAATTTATGAAATTTCTACCAAAATGCTAACTTCCAAAATAGGCGCTGAAATGCTCCCGGGTCATCCAAAACTCGATCCGAACATACGCCCAAGTCCGAAATCATCATACAAACCAGATGGAACCTTCAAATCCCGATTCCGAGGTCGTTTACTCAAAGCCCAATCTTAGTCAATTCTTCCAACTTAAAGCTTTCAAAATGAGAATTTTCTTTCTAGATCAACTCCGAACTTTCCGAATTTCAATTACGACCATGGCCTCAAACCATCGAACGACACGCTAGTGCTCAAAATGACCGGTCGGGTCATTAAATTCTCTCTCACTTAAATATACGTTCGTCCTCAAACGTGCTAAGAACTGCGCTGGAGTAGTCTGAAATCACTGCCTAACACCTCATGCACCTACCCGTGCCACCACAACTCAGTTGAGCACACTAGCTCGAGCCAATCTGAAGATGCTCCCTTTTTCTTAGTCAAATAGCCTTAGAACCCTATTCCAACATCTGGAATTCCCGACCAGACCTGTTCCTATCATACGAACACCGTATCAATCTCTATGCGATGCACTAATACCTGATTGCATACCTTTGCTGAATCCACTTTATGCACTGCATAACTCACATGACCATAATAACATCCTCTGAAACAATAGCCGAAATTTCACGAATCCGATGCTCACAATGCACCTCATGACATATATAATTCTTGTTCCAACTCTTGCAATACCGCCACGACAGAAGAGGTGTAGAAATTCATAACCAACTGCCGAGTCAACAACTCGATGAGTCTCTCCTCCTGCAGGAACCATTTCCTTATTATGAACCAAACAATGATATTTGCTCTTTTAATATGCTGCATATAATCTGATCGCACTGATCCCAGATCGAATAATCTCACCTAGTATAAGCTGTCAGGCAATAAGCCACCCCAGACACGACCAAGAGTCTCATATGATGCCACAATGTGCCAACAAGCTACCAACTCGAATGTGATAAGTAAGGAAAATGAACTTTAGAAAGGACTACTCAACCCACGTAACTAATTAGACAACCGAAAAGGTGTTATGAACCTTCCTCAGAAAATGGGAAACAAAACACACAAGAATAAATATAGGGGAGTGTACTCAACATCACATTGTTGCGGTGTGAAACCCGATCCAAACAATATACCCGTGGCTGCGTGCCACCCAATCCACACATAAATTCAATATAAGGAGATACACACCGAGCTAGAGTGCTCATTACTACGAAATACTCGAATATCGGCCACAAGCACGCCAAGTGCATAATACCATCCCTGGGGAGAAAGATAGTGCCATGCGCTACAAAACTTAAGCACAACTGAGGTGCGATATATGATCTAAATATCGAGAGCCATTTGCTCACATAACACTATTGCTACGCGAAACCTCAACACATATGAAATTTATCAAGCCGTTTCACAACCCACACGGCACAATATAGTATTACATGAAATAGCCGACGACGAAACAACATCCAACGTCCGAATACTCCTCCATAAGGAGCGCTATGCTGAATACATCCGGCCAGATATAGAGCCCACGTTCACATTTAGATCCATCCACAGACCTCAAACCGATTCTGATCGTACCGCACTAGGCTAGTAACCTTTCAAGGATTCACAATAACCCTCTCTACCATGACACACAAGAACAACCATCAAACCCGGAACAAACTTCCATAGGCCGCCAAATGAACTGAGCGCCCTTTAGGCATAAATTCTCACTAATGATAGTACCACAATCTCCGTACTTGGTTATCAATCTTTAATCAATTAAGTTACTACCTATCACACTTATACCATCTTCCCGTGGGATACGCCCCCACGACCTTCCACATCAGGTAACAATGTGCACACCCATACCACCAGCCATACTAATGTTGTAAAGCAAATCAAGGATCAGCAAATCAATACTCAAAGCCTCTTACACAGGACACTGCTCTCAGGTGACGTTAAAAATAATACCAGCTTACTCTAACCATCTGAATCCCTTTTCCCTGCTCGTCCGAGCTGGTGACATTCTTGTCGACACCCAAACCGCAACCTTAATCCTCAACTTCCAACTCCCTTGCTACTCGATACACTTGATCATGCCAATACGCAAGAGTACAAGAATTTCATCATAACTTCTGATCCACTAATAGGGTACACACTTTATCATATAGAAACCTTTTACTTAACTTATTTCAAGAGAACCATTGCAATACGTGACTGAATTCTCATATCCGCAGAAAATACCAACCTCAAGTAGTGGTCTAAACCACCATAAAACTTCTGGGATCCATCTGTACAAACCCGACCATAATACCCGAAAGCCTCCAAATAAAATCAATTATGGCGACCTTCAAACCTCGCACATACCGTCACAAATCACATGAGTAACTCAACACGCTAAAGGAACTGATCATTGCCATCATCATGCCGATTCAACCATTTCTAACTGATCCGACTTCTTCTAATTTACCCTGGACTTGCCTTAGGAATAATAATAGCTCCATTCAAAACATAGCGAACTCAATCCACACTCGTCCTGAGTGAACCCATTTCACAAGACCACAATGTCTCAAAACCCACGAACCATTTCATACCCTCTTTGTGCGAATAATCGCGTCTTCAACTGGTACACCCATTATGATAATTATTCTATAAATCCAAATTTATTTCCTCCCATTCCTCGCACACTACACCGAAAACCGGAGATAACGCAGAACACCCCAAGCTCCTTTATCATAATTCGCTGCAAAAGCTGGATACTCAACCATACTATGGACTCGAAATCCTTAGGCACCGCACTTTAGCTTTTGAATCCACTAGGACCGTTGTTGAGAGTCACCCACTCTGACTTGGTCCCGAATATAATCAACTCCAAGGCTTTGCTATCACATGAACGCCTTCTCAAAGAAACACCCGGCTGAATCACCTTTCTTGTAAATCACCTCTATACGAAGCATAAATCCTGAGTCTTCTCAAAGCCTGAACATAAATTAATAAGGCCAATTATAGCACACATTCCTAATATCCTATGCTCAATCACCACCACATGTCCTCTTTCCTTAGTCATAACAACCCACCAATATGCCGATAACCAGAAACCTCACAAGTAGGTAACCATACAATCCAATCGTAGGCGGTGGGCTCTCCCACTTAGCTTGAAGCTACCATTGCATAAATCTGGAACCCACCAATATTCCTTATCCCCCACTGATATGATCTTGCACAATCAACCCACCAAATTCCTCAAAATTTCCTTGTTAACCATTGCATGGACACTCTGAATCACTAGCCATGTTTACAGATTCGACCTCTTACCAGATAGCCAGTAGAATTCTTTGTATAGGCTTCGTCAACCACGCAACTGCCAACCTGCTCACAGGAGGTAACCCACATGCAGAAATTACATGCCGACATTTTCCAATGTCGCTGCACTAGGTAATGCTACTACAAAATCAGTAACCCATCCTGAGCCCGTGCCCATTCACCAGCTGTACAAGTCCATTCACTCCTCATGGACATCAACTAAAGGTGTGATAATATATTCCCATCCAAAGTCATGATGTATCCTTCTTCGTATCAAGCAACTCTTTTTTGTCGTATCCAATCTCCCGCCGTATAGTAGCCATTATTCCATATTAAGTCCGTAGACCTAGCCACTATCTACCATGAATCCCAAATCACTCTAAACTTTTCTCAAGGTGTGTAGTCATCCTGCCACAGAACCCATATGCTACTCTGCCACTCTCCCACTTTGGTCAAAATCACTCCTTTAAGCAACTACCCGATTCCTGTTTCTTACAACTGGCCTTCTAGTAATTTAACCACCGCAAGACACCATCCACATGTTTTTCCTCATCCTTCGCTGCCCAATCGTTGCCTTAAATTAGAAATCCATCTCGGTAGCACCTGGATCAGTAGATTGATACCAAATTTAAACCCCTCCAAAGATCATCTTCCTCGAGCCGTCAATCTTAGAAATATCCATTTAAATTTTGAGATTGCTGCACTCCGCTATCCCTGACGACTGTTTCCCCGGCACCATCTGACACTACTCTGCCCCGAAGGCAAATTGATGAAGACCATAACACCGGCGAACTTAACACATTCAATCAAGGGCGACGACACCACATCACAAATGAACATTCGCCCACGCCTGAAAATACCAAGTCTCGTTACTCCGTCAACCCAAACCTGAACATTCATAGTCCGATTGCTTTTCTTTCACCGGAAATAAAATACTGAATCTCTGAATCATGCACTGAGTAAACCTCCTTTCAAATTATTCATTGCTTCGACACATAGGCAAGCAACCTACCATTACACAAATACTGTGCAATAGCAACGCACTAATCGTCTTAACAATCAATGCCAAATCTCAAAGCCGTAGGTAGTACTGATACTGAGCTAAAACGACAGAATGACTTTCGCAAGGCGAAAATAATATTCCAATCAAGTACCCAGGGGAAAAAATCTTACACCATATCTATAGTACCATTACGATTCCTCGGTTCCCAATCGATAGCAAGCACTTCACGTCACATAAGATTGAATATGAAAGAAGACTCTATCTATGACTTAAATTAAAAAAGAAAAATATGCATTATCCCAAATACTTAGTTTTTTTTTAACACAACACGTGGATATATTATATTACTTAGAACAGAAAAACTACATAGGCATAGTAGATGTTTTTAGGGCATTATTGTTGCCCATAGTTGCCAAATAGTTACAAACATTAGTAGAAATACTCTTAAAACTATTACAAACTCCATGCTTGTTTTTTATCACTTCTTGTTCGACAATCCCAAATACTTAGTTGCATTGCCCCAAATACTTAAAAGTTAGGAAAAGCCCGGATAATAGAATCTTTATTGTCAGTATTGAACATCGGTTTGATTGTTTCAGCTGCGACTTCAGCCAGGTCATGGAGCTCCAAAAATGCTGCTGCCTAAAAAGAAGAGGACAGTAAGAATACTAATTACGTAATCCAAATCAAACACTAGTTAACTGTTTTACTGAAAGCAAGTAGTATCAGGAAAAAAAAAAGAATAGACAAACAAGCAAGCTCCTAACACGTATGGTCTTGAAGGGGTAATTAAAAAAAGAGTGATAAATTAAAAGTCACTTAATATATAACATGTGTATACCTTGACAAAAGCTTTTAGTTTTTCTAAATCAACATTCACAAGCTGAGCTTTGAAGTTTTTGAAAGCAATCCACTCGTCTGTGATGCTAGTCTCGAGGTATTGAATGAGTTCTCTGAGAATGATGCTGGAGATATCAATTAAAGGAATTGTGATGGCATCATCTTCAATATCCGAGCAAATGCGGCGTATCGTTTCGGATTGACATGCTACCGTCTTTGGCACTTCAAATGTTACACCATCACTGCTCGTCAAAGTAAGCATTTCTTAGTAAATTAATGAGTGGGAAAGGAGTTACTCTAGAAAATTCCAAAAAGTTATAGCTATGGAATTAATTAAAGAAGAGTAGATTGATTTTATAACACTACCTCACCACCTAATTTCATGCAATTTACATTAGCTACCTAGACCATTTGTTCAAAGTCATGCAAAGCTAGTTGATGTAAATGCGATCTGCATTTGGACCAAATCCATGCATGAAACCCATGATAGCTTCTCCAATAAAGTGTTAGTTATGACTAACATCAAAGATAATAACTGATTTCCCAAGTCCCTCGTTTGTCTTAAACTAACTATTTCCACTTTATCCTAGCTCATCCATAATGATTTTTCCTCTGTTGGGGAAGCTAAGCTCATTTTGGTTTATACTTTACTTAACCCAAAATCAAAGGCGTCTTAATATAACTCATGGCCTAAAGCCAAATTTAAATGAGGGGCCTAAATTTTATTTTATTCTGTCAATAGTATAGTTATCTTTCAAAATATAGTATTAATATTACATTGGTTCCTTTTTTTTCTTTCTTTCTTTTTGTCTATAGTGTAGTTATCTTATAAAATATAATATTATTCACATTGGTAAGAAAGTTCAAGTTAATAAGATGTTAGCCACGTATTTACAATTCGTTACCTTAGATCTTATTGTAAAAAATTATTATTTATCAATATGAAGATTTGAGTATCTTAATTTAATGTTCTAAAATATTTCTATTGTTAAAAAAATAGATAGTCTTTCTTTCTATTTTTATAAGTATTTTTTTCTATAAACTTTAAATAAGTGAAAATAAGATAGTAAATTCACAACTAAAAATATTATTGGGGTCCCAAAATTTAGGGGGCCTAAAGCAAAGGCTTTACTAGCTTCCCCCTTGAGCCACCCCTGCCCAAAATATTAGGAAAAATCACGTGAATATGCTTCATAAGGAGGAAAAAAAAGCATTAAAGAAAATTAAAGTATCTGATTGTAATATTAAAATAATAGGGTAATTAGCTATCACGACCCGGAATTACCACCCCCGGGAGTCGTGATGGCGCCTACTAATGAGAGCTAGGCAAGCCAACCCTTAACTACCTTTTCATTAACAATTTACTCCTTTGGCAATAATCAGTGATATCATGAAAAAAACAACGGAATTAAATAAATGAGCGGAAGACTTAAATTAAATAAGCTGAACAATAATGCGGAAATCAACATATAATTTTACCCAAGGACTGATGTCACTTTACTCACGAACTACTAAGAGCACTAAATACAACCGTTGAAAGAAATGTAAAATTGTCTGTCTCGAATACATGAGATAACAGAATGAAACAAAATATAGAGGAGATGTCGGGCCTGCGGACGCCTGCAAGGCTACCTCGGTGTCTCGGTGGACTGAAGGCTGGCTCCCGCGCTACTGCTGCTGTCCAATGCCTAGATCTGTGCAAAAGAGCACAAAGTGTAGCATCAGCACAACCGACCTCATGTGTTGGTAAGTGTCTGGCCTAACCCCGGCGAGGTAGTGACGAGGCTAGGACCAGACTCCAAATAAACCTGTGTAGTTATACATATATATGCAAATACAACGGAAAGATAGGAAGAGATAAACAACTAAAGATGGGAAAAGGGAACATGCTTCGGAGATAGCAGATAAAATAGAATATCAACGAATAATAAGGAAACTATAATTTTACAAACACGGATAAGGAAATAAAGACAACTTTCATTTTTAGTCTCATCTTGTTGCAGGCGTACAACCCGATCCCATTTCTCATATCTTTTGGTAGGCGTACCACCCGCTCCCATTTCATCATATCTCGTGGTAGGCGTACCACCCGCTCCCATTTCATCATATCTTGTGGTAGGCGTACCACCCGCTCCCATTTCATCATATCTTGTGGTAGGCGTACCGCCCGCTCCCTTTTTCAGTTCATCACATAATTACAAGAAATCCCGGCAAGGGAACATAAGCAAAATAATAACTTCCCGGCAAGGGAGCAAAACAATATAAAAAATTCCCGCCAAGGGGACACAATATGACTTAACTCCTAATCCCTCAAGCTAAGGTTAGGCCGAACACATACCTCAAACTTCCACGGCCAAATCAATCCTCAAATACCGCTTTCCCTCTCGAATTCGGCTCCAAATCGATTGTATCTATACAATAATGACTTCAATACATCAATAAATGCTAAACAATGCGAACTCAGTGCCTAATTATAGCTTTCCAAGCATTCTTCCCAAAATCCCAAAAATCGACCCCGGGCCCGCTTGGTCAAAACGCGAGGTTCGGACCAAAATAATATCACCCATTCACCCACGAGCCCGAATATATAATTTATTTTCAAATTCGACCCCTAAACGAGGTCTAAATCAAGAAAAATCAAAAAGCCCTAACTCTACCCAATTCTCTAATTTCTACCCTTAATTACATGTTTTAGACCTAAAATTTCAATAGATGTTGATGAAAAATGAAGGAAACGAGTTAAAGATTACTAACCCACGAGTTAATGGTGAAAAGATACTTCAAAAGTCGCCCTAGAACCTTGGAGAAGAAGAAGTTTGTAAAGTCTTGTAAAAATCCCGAAATGGTTCTGTTTTGGAGTTTCTAAAAATAACTGGGCGAATTAAACCTACGCGTTCGCGATGGGACCATCGCATTCGCGATGGTCCAGGTCTGAAGACCTTCGCGTTCGCGACACAGCGGCTCGCGTTCGCGGAGAGTTATCTCCTAGAGCCTCGCATTCGCATCCTTAAGGTCGCGTTCGCATAGCTATAGTACCCTACCCCCGCCCAGGCTCACTTTTGCCTTCGCGTTCGCGAAGGTATAACCCCCGCTGCCTCGCATTCGCGACCTGGTCAACGCGTTCGCGTAGAAGGAAATCTCCTTCAGCTAATTTTACTCATCGCGTTCGCGAGGGTTCCCCCGCGAACGCGAAGAAGACCATACCAGAACTGGAACCTGCAATTTTCATAAGTCCAAAACCACTCCGAAACACCTCCAAAACACTCCCGAGCCCTCGGGGCTCCTAACCAAACACATCACTAACTCAACAACATCCTACGAACTTAACTGTGTGATCAAATCGCCAAAATAACATCAAAACAATGAATCCAACCTCAAAATCAAAAGTTTTTCCTCAAACTTCATTAAGCCTCAAATTTAGAACTTTAAGCCCGAAACACGTCAAACGATGTCCGATTTTAACCAAACTTTACAGAAACCCCTTAAATCATATATAAGACCTGTACCGGGCGCCGGAACCAAAATACGGGCCCGATACCAACACGTGCCAATCAAATTTCATTTCAAATTTCCTTAACATTTTCAGAAAAACAATTTCCTCTAAAAATTCATTTCTCGAACTCAGGACCTCGGAATTCGATTCTGGGCATACGCCCGAGTCCCATATTTTCCTACGGACCCTCCGGGACCGTCAAATCACAGGTCCTGGTCCGTTTACCCAAAATATTAACCGAAGTCAAATTTATTCATTTTAAACTCAAAACTTAGCATTATTCACAGAATTTCATATTTAAGCTTTCCGGCTACGCGCCTGGACTGTGCACGCAAATCGAGGTGACTCTAAATGAGGTTTTCAGGGCCTCGGAAGCACAGAATGGATAAGAAAACAGGTGATGACTCTTTGGGTCATCACATTCTCCACCTCTAAAACAACCGTTCGTCCTCGAATGGACAAAAGAAGGAAGTACCTGAGTCGGGAAATAGATGAGGACAACAGCTCCGCATATCGGACTCGGACTCCCAGGTAGATGCCTCAGGAGGCTGACCTCTCCACTGAACACGAACAGAAGGGAAACTCTTGGACCTCAACTGGCGAACCTGCCGGTCTAAAATAGCTACCGGCTCCTCCTCATAAGACAAGTCCTTGTCCAACTGGACAGTGCTGAAATCTAACACGTGGGCTGGATCACCGTGATACCTCCGAAGCATGGACACATGAAACACTGGATGCACGGCTGATAAGCTCGGCGGCAATGCAAGTCTATAAGCCACCTCTCCCACTCGATCAAGAATCTCAAATGGACCAATGAATCTAGGGCTAAGCTTGCCCTTCTTCCCAAATCTCATCACGCCTTTCATAGGCGACACTCGGAGCAATACCCGCTCACCAACCATAAAATCCACATCTCGAACCTTGCGGTCTGCATAACTCTTTTGCCTGGACTGAGCTGTAGGAAGCCTATCCTGAATAATCTTGACCTTGTCCTAGGCCTCCTGAACCAGATCCGTACCCAACAACCGAGCCTCTCCTGGCTCAAACCATCCATCCGGAGATCGACACCGTCTACCATATAAAGCCTCATAAGGAGCCATCTGTATACTCGACTGGTAGCTGTTGTTGTAGGCAAACTCCGCTAAAGGCAAAAACTGATCCCACGAACCTCTAAAGTCAATGACACAAGCTCGAAGCATATCCTCAAATATCTGAATAGTCCGCTTGGACTGACCGTCCGTCTGGGGATGAAATGTTGTGCTCAACTCAACCCGTGTGCCCAACTCTCGCTGAACTGCTCTCCAGAAGCGCGAGGTAAACTGCGTACCCCGGTCCGAAATGATAGATACGGGCACACCGTGAAGACGAACAATCTCCCGGATATAAATCTCAGCTACCTCTCGGATGAATAGGAGACTGCCACAGGAATGAAATGCGCTGACTTTGTCAGCCTATCAACAATGACCCAAACTGCGTCGAACTTCTTCCGAGTCAGCGGAAGTCCAATAACGAAGTCCATAGTGATCCGCTCCCACTTCCACTCGGGAAGATCAATCCTCTGAAACAATCCACCAGGCGTCTGATGCTCATACTTAACCTGCTGACAATTCAAATACCGAGCCACACATGCAACAATATCCTTCTTTATTCTACGCCACCAATAATGTTGCCGCAAATCCTGATACATCTTCGCGGCGCCCGGATGAATAAAGTACCGGGAACTATGGGTCTCCTCTAAAATCAACTCTCGAAGCCCATCCACATTGGGC